AATATTTTTATATTTAGTTTATAGAAAAGCCTTTTTCTGTGAAGAGCCACAGTGTTTGCACACAGTTTTACTGCTGCCATGTGATGGGGATGTCACCAGCTGGCATGCGGGGTGCTGGTGGCACAATTGTGAAGAAACATCTCAGTCAGAGCAAAAACATATTTTGGAAGTTAGAAAACATTTTCTCAGATCCACATGAGAAAAAGTCTTGGCTTCTTTCTTAGGTGTAAAATCTTTTTTTAAAAAAAAATTAAGACATTTTATTGAAGTGATGTACATTTCTAAACTTCTTTTGTGGGATTTTTTTTTTCTGTTTTAAGCTTTTACTAAAATATAACTTACCATCTGAGAAACAAAAACTTGAAAAGTACACTCATGGGAAAATTTAGCTCAGTGACTTTTTACAAAGTGAACACACCCATGTAACCAGCTTACAGAGCAAGCAGTGAAATAGCGCCAACATCCACAGCTCCTCCTAGGCCCCTTCAAGAGGATACTGGGATGAGGTGGTAGAATGCAGTCTTTGTTCTGCGTGCAGGAGACCTGGACGCAGCACCTCATGTACAGATACCACCTGTTGGCCCTTGGAGGCTTGCATGCTGTGATGATGCCCGACACATTTCAGGGGACCTTCCAGATTAAGATAAACTACAAACAGACTTGTCAGTCTACTTCTGAAAATTGTTGTTGTTAGATGATGTTAAGTCAACTTTGACGCATACCAAGCGCATATACAACAGATGGAAACTTAAGCCTCTGAAAACTCTATGGATCACAATGACCTGATGATCAAGTAGTGTTGGTCTGTGCATGCTGTGTGTATTATATACACTGTGTGTTACATGGGCATGTTGTCAGGGGAGGATGTGGTCGTACATATGGCTGGTTTTCAAACCTGTTAAAAGAGTCTAAATCAGCACGTCACATCCCTCTGGAGCATTAGTTAATGTCTTTTTGCGTTGTTAATGCACCTAACTTAAAGAATAAAAAGATTTGTATAATTAAGTAGCAGTTAACCTCCCTCGTCCTGCTACTTCCCAAAGCACCAGAGGATAAGAACCCAGATATGTGTCTGGAGAACCTACTTTGTATTATTTTTTTGTCCTTTTAAACTTTTAAGTTTTTGGTTTTTGGCCTAGTACATGATCTATCTCAAAAAATGTTTCATGTTTCCTTGTGAAGACTGTATATGTGTTATTACGTTACCTAACTACTGATAGATGTCTGTTAGGCCTAGTTGGTTTAGTATTATTGTACAAGCACATTTCAGAATTGAACTTGTTGCCAGCTCTGTCCATTATTGAAACTAGGGTATGCAAGTGTCTTCAACTGTTACTGTTGAATTGTCTATTTCTCCCATATTTCCTCAGTTTTGCTTCATTTATATGGTGCTCTGTTATTTGTTGCTGTTGTGTACTGTCGAGTCAGAGCTGATAGTCAAGCGGATTTTCACAGACAGTAAAGAACATAGGAGATTGCCCATCTTTCTCCTACAGAGCAGCTGGTGGATTTGAATCTGGTGCCTTCAGATTGTTAGTGCATCTCTTTTCACTAAGACATTGACACTCCCTGCTGTGCTGTTAGGACCTACATGTTTATAATTGATATCTTCTCCTAATGGATTGACTGACCCATTTGTGATTTCTCTAGAAACTAGAAAATTTACAATCTGTGTTTTCTGATATTAGTATAGCCATTGTAGCTTTCTTGTGGTAACTGCTTGATAAATCTGTACATACTTTAATGCTCAATCTATTTGTATCTTTGAATTTATTTATTTATCCTGTTGTTGTTGTGTACCATAGAGTCGGAACCAAACCATAGCTGATCTTCCAGCGGGTTTTCACAGGCAGTTAAATGCATGGGAGGAGACTGCCCATCCTTCCAAGGAGCAGCTGGTGGCCTCAAACTGCATCCTTTCAGGATTGTAGCGCAGCTTCTTACCACTAGGCCACCAGAGCTCCCCTATTTATCCTGGAGACAGCATAATTTTAGACTTTTTAAAATCCATTCTCACAGACTCTTGATTGAATTGCAGCATCCAATTGCAAGCTGAATTATCTCGTCTTAAAATTAGCTAATTCTTAAACCTGAAATAAGCAGGGGAATGGGGACAAAACCCACATACTTCTGTGAAACTATTTGTATCTAGTTTGAATATACAGTGGAAATTTTTATGAAGGTGCCAAGCTACAGTATATAACAGAAACTAGAAACGGAACAAAAATTCACTACTATCAAGTTGGTTCCGACCATAAGGCCCTGTAAGCTGGGGAGGTGCTGCTCCTGGACTTTCTGAGGCTGTGAATACAGGAGTAGATTGCCTCATCTTCTCCCACAAAGCAGCTGGTGGATTCAAACCACAGACACAGTTAGCAGCCCAGTTCTTAACCGACTGCACCACCAAGCCTCATTTGTATGACATAAGTGGTTTTAAAATTAGGCAAATAATTGAGTAACAAGGGAAATTTGGCTAAACCTTAGGTAGATGTTTTAGTCCTATCAGGAGCCTTTGTTTTTATTCTTTTTATGGTTTTCCATTACATGAAAAATTTTTAATTTAGCATTTTAATTTCTTTTATTGTATTTTATTTTATACATACATAGGGTGCTTTGGTGACGTATGTAGTCCATAGGGAGTTAGGCTGCTAACCCGGTTCAAATCCACCAGTGGCTCAGTGGGTGGAAGATGCAGAATCTCTCTCCATGTTATTTACAGCCTCCAGATACTCGCTGAAGGGTCAGACTTGACAGCAGTGAGGTTGAGGTTTAAGTACACACACACACACACACACACACACGTATGTAATGCTCTGCTCATATAATCTGGAGATTATTGCTCTGCTAACCAAAAAGCATTTGTTTGAAGCCCTCAACAAGATGGACTGAAACAGTGAGCAGTGGGCTCAAGTGTGTAAGAGAAGACAAGGAAAGAACAGAAAGATCTGTTGTTCACAGAGTTGCTATAAGTTGTACTCAGCATCAAGTAACAACAGCCAAAAGGCTAGCTTCTCTGGCAGTTTGAAACCAGCAGCCTCAACAGAGAAATATGGACAGTCTCCGGCTAAGATTTATAGTCTCAGAAACCCAATGGAATATCATTCTAAGTCAGAATCTGCTTAGTGGCAGTGCGTTTTGAAAGCATAAATGCACAGCAGTTTGAATGACTGTGGGATACAGAGAAGTAAAACTTGAGGAGTGTGGTGTGCTCTAGGACCTTGAGTTGATGATGCAAGGAGAGTAGAATTTTAATAGATAGAGAAGGAAGATTCTCCAGTTGATACAAAAAACCTGAAGGGATGAATATATATTGAGTCTGGAGAAAAGTAAATTTTCTAGATTGGAAGACTCATATTAAGAGAAAATACTATGGACAAATTTTGCTGTGACAGTCTTCTTTGAATATGAAATGAAGAATATTTTAAAAATAAGTTAGTTTTTATTGTTGCTCATACCTACAAAAGAACATACACCAATTCAGCAGTTTCTACATCACAATTCAGTCGTTCTCAGTCTTCTAATTGATTCCTCCACCTTTAACGTAAACTTACGGTTTCCTAAGCTTCCTTTTAAACCTTGTAGAAATCAACAACTTTGTGGAAATCTTTTTTTGTTATCAGTGAGAAGTCATTAAACATTTTGAGCTGGCAAATGCCATGAATATGAGCTTTTAGAATACATACTAGTGGCAGCATGTAGGGTGAATTGGCAACTGTAGAATTTAAGCCCAATACTACCCTATTTTCTCTGTCCTTCAGTGGAGAAATATCATTGTGATATTCACAGAAAAGTTGTATTTCAAATTAAAAAGTGTGTGTGTGTGTGTGTGTGTGTGTGAGAGAGAGAGAGAGAGAAACTTGCTCATTTATAACAGTGACATTAACCAATGGCATGTAAATACTGAAATAATTTCTGTTACACGAATAAAACGGATATGGTTACTTGAAGTGTTAGTTAGTTTTAGGCTTTGGTGGAATCAGATAGACTTGAATTCTAGTTTTGTGTGCAGTGGGACAGGTTTTTTCACCTTTCTAAGCCTTTCTCTGCAGAGAGTAGCTAATAATCTCACCCTTTTAAAGCTGTGGTCATTAAATAATTCATGTAAAGTTCTTAGCACACTGCTGGTAAAGAGTGAACACTTGATGAATACTTTTGTCATTTGTAATTGTTGCTGTGGTTGTTACTATGATCATTAACTAATCATTATATAAGATAAGGAACTACACTGGCAGCCCAAAGGCACACAGTTCAAGTCCATCAATTGCGCTTCAGGATTAAGAGAGGCCGTCTCCTCCTGTATAATTTACAGCCTGTGAAAACCTGCCAGAGGGCCAGCTCTGAGTGGATTCCCACTTGATGGCTCGTAACAGTGGCAATAATCACTATCCAGAGGGAGTTCTGGAGACCTGGCCCTCAGGGGGGTTGACACAAAGGCAGACCTTTCCGAATTATCCAAGGCACCTGTGACTCTTACAGCCTTGGAAACCCAGTGGAGGGTCAACTATGGCTAGTTCTGACCTGATGGAATCATTCTCTTGTATTGTTTCCATGAACAATGTATTCTGAGTCTTGATTTTGTACTTTAAGAACATTATTTTTTCTTTCTTGATCCTGCCCCAAGCAAAGGTCTTCTGGCTGCCTCTGAATGTTCCTGCCCTTTATTCTAATGCCTTGACTTACCAGGTCGGGTGTGCCAGAAGACCAGGGGCTGTACCATTTGCTGCTTGTTAGTGAGGTAACAGAGCAACTAATTTTTTTTTTGGTAGTTGTTTTTGTTGTTGATTGGCATTGAGTCGAGCGTGACTCAGAGCGACCCAATGAACAAAAGGCCTGAAGCCTTTTGCTTTATAACTATTGTCATTTATCAAAGTTCATAGAGTTTCCAGAGGCATGTTGTTTAGGAAGTGGGCACATGCAATATTAGGTTTTATTTTCCTTATTATAATTCTAACTGTGGTGTTTGTTACTTAGAAATTTAGACTTCTCTTTACTTTTGCCAGGTTTAAGCCATTTTTTCCATTCCAAACCTTGCAAGGATTTGAAGAGGATGAGGACGAGTACATCCACATCCAGCAGTGGGCGCTTACTGAAGGTCGTCTTAAAGTGACGTTGTTAGAGTGTAGCAGGTATGTCCCCTTTGTTGTGTTATAACTATTTTTCAAAAGAAAATGCAGTGGAAAAATGCATCTAAGCAGTATTTGTGTTTATTCCCTTTTGGTATTCTTGTATATTATCTGTTATGTCTATAGTTACAAATTTACTTTCATAAAAGTAGTTCTTTTTAGCTTGAGAAAAAATATAAGCCATATTTTAGAAAATAATCTAATGTGGGAGAGCAATTTTTTTTTTCTGTTGGAGTCTCAAATCTTTAAGCGTATAATACCCTGTTGGCGTAACTTTAATTTACCACTTGTTGAAGAGCTGTTCATCATTTAGCAGATTTGAAGATCATTTACAGTACGTGTAAACACTCTGAAAAAGTCCCGTATCCAGACTTTGAAACCCCTGGTGGTTTCTTAACAATTTAGAACTAAAAAAAATTGTAAAAACAGTCTTCCTATCCTTTCTCCTTATTTTACTTTGTTAGCACCATGGTCTAAATAGCTCACGTGGCTTAGTGATAAAGAATTGCCAACTTGAAGGCACGTGGTTCAAATCTGACATCTATTCCACGGGAGAAAGACAGGCGGTCTCCTGCTATGGCATGTACTGCCTCTGAAAACCTGCTGGAGGGTCAGCTCTGGGTTGCTTCCAGCTCCACAGTGCACAGCAACAACAGCACCTAAGCTTGCTCACCTTGCTCTTGAACTACTTAAGACATTGATCTGCTCACTTATCTCCTAAAACTCTGGTTCTCTTCAAATAGCAGCAGTCTTTTTAAAAATGCTCATCGTGTTGTCAGTCTCCTGGAATGGCTTTCCATTCTTCCTAAGATGTGGAATCAAATCCTCACCATAGCCTCCAAACACAAACACCAAGCCTTCTTGCCTCCCGCTTTCTTTTCCTCCCCTACCCATTCATTTACTCAGTGCTCAGTGGTAGTGCTCTTCCCTAGGGGGAAGAATGACCAGGGTTTTTTTCTGTAGAAATAATTTATAAATATTTTAGGCTTTGTGTTTCCATTGAATTACTCAGCTCTGCCTTACATGTTGTTATAAATAGCCAAGTGTAAATGAATGGGCCTGCCAATAAGACTATGTATTAATTTCCTTTAATATTTATGTGCCATGAGATGTTTTTCAGCCATTTGAAACTGGACATTTGGTAGCTCTCAGGCAGTAGGAACAGACTGGATTTGACCCAAGGGTTGTGGTTTCCCCGTCTTGGACTTTTAAAAACCAAGCTCAGTTTATTGCCTTTTCACTACCTTTCAAAAATGAAAGCCCTCCTCCACTCACTCACTGTTCATTGAAACTATCCTTTCCGGGTTCAGTTCAAAATTTACTTTCTTAAAGTGCTTTCTTGTCTGATAGTTCCAAATGTAACTATAATTATGCCACACTTTTTTAACATTTGTTTGTACCACTAATTAGGTTCTTAGCATCACTTGTATTTTTATTTATAACCAATAATAAAAATAAGTACTTAATACAGATGTTCTATTTTGTACCTAATATTTGTATATTCTTGCTAAATAGGTTAACTTTGAGTAGGTTATATAATATACCAGAGTTCTACTCCCAACCCAAAGGCAGTTGGTTCAAATTCACCAGCTGCTCCATGGGAGAAAGTCTTCCCCATGAGGTGACTTACTGCCTGTGAAAACCTGCTGGAGGGCCAGCTGTGAGTCAGTTTTGACTCAACGGTGCGTAACAAACAACTCCTCAAGAGCAAAATGGACCTTTTCCCATTCTGTTTACAGCCTCTGAAAACCCAGAACATCAAAAAAAAAAATCCAAAAAAAAAAAAGAAAACCCAGAACAATGAATCCATTCCAACTTGATGGCAATGAATTTTGTAGCTTTTTAACCACTTTACCAGCTGTTGATTTTGGTCACTATGCCCTTACTACTCAAGCATTTTCCTGTAGGAATCAAAGACTTTATAAAGACACTCGTAAAGAGTGTTTTGTATTCTGACTAATAGTACTGTTTTATTACAGAAGGAAATATTTTTTGCTCCATGTTCCTGTATGATGGAATCCGTTATTGGTAGCCATTGAGTCAGAGTTCATTGAGGTTCCTTCATTCTTGCTGGCCCTCTACTTGGCAAACCATGGTATCCTTATTTAGCAACCATTTTTTCTTGATGATTGTATCCAGGGTAGACAGGTCAAAGTTTCTCTGTTTCCACCTCTAGGGTACTTTCTAGTTGCATTTCTTTTATTATTGAGATAATTTGTTCTTTTGACAGTCCATAGTATATTCCATAGTCTTTACCAATGCCATAATCTGATTGCATCAGTTCTTCTGTGTTTCTTTTTCTTACCCAACTTCCAAATGCATTTGGGGCATTAGAAAAACTATGACTTGGAGTGCTGCTCTTTAGCTACCAAAATGACATCTTTGCTTTTTTGAAACTTAAAAGAGATACAGGTTTGCCCAGTGCAGATACGTCACTTGATGTCTTGACTGCTGCTCCCGTGGGTTCTGATCATGGATGCATGTTTGTATTTTCTCTTACATGAACAAGACCTGTGCAGCCATTTTCAAGTTGTTACAAGGATTAGTTTAACATTTCTATAAATGTTGTTTCAAAGACACTTAAGAAAGTGACTTTAAATCAAGTGAAAAAAATACAATGTTAGTAATTTCCCCCTAAATCTATAAAATGGAATATCATATTCATCCATAGACAAACAGCATTCTGTGTGAGGACCTACCCTTTTATTTTTTTAATCTTTCTGTTTTTAAATAATAAATTGGTTCTGCATGAGCAGTTTTTTTTCTTTGTATTCTTTTTTTTATCTGTTTAAATTTTAAGTCATTTTAGACTTAAAGAAAAATTTTGGAGAGTTTTTATTAAATTTGTTATAAGGCCTTGAGAGAGTTTTGCCATTACGGGAAGAAATTAGAAGTATTTGTAAAAAACAGATCGTTTATTGAAAATGTTAGAGTTATTATACAGCTTTGAAAGGCAGCATGAAGTGGAAATAAATGTATCTGAGTTAGAAAGGTAAAAGCTCACACCTGGGTTCACATACCTTTGGGTTGTATGTCCTTAGTTTGTTTTGTTCCTAAGTACCGTCAGGTCGAGTACAGTTCAGATCAGCCCAGTGGACAACAGATCTGAACTTCGTCATATCCTGTGCTATCCTCATCATCTCTGACATGCTGGAGCCCGTGTCTTCAGTCACTGTGTCAATCCATTGAACACATCTGTAAAGTAGACAGAAGCACTGTCTTGCCAGTAATTGTGATCAGCGATAGGTAAATATTAATAGCATCAGTATACTGTTTGATAAAGTACCAGAAGATGAACCCCTCGGTTTGGAAGGCATTCATAATGCAACTTGGAAAGCGCTGCTTCCTCAACATAATTTATTTAATGTCACAAATAAGGTAAAGCTTTCACTGGAAGTAAAGATGTTCATGTATATAGAGTAAAGGACTTTACTGGCTGGTGTGGTGTGTTTCACAATTCAGAGACAAAGCCACAAACATCCATTAATAATGGTATCTTAATTATAAATAATAATGAAAGAATTGATATATAGTTAAGTAATTTTATTAGTAATGATAATAATATGGAATGTACAAAATATGGATCTAGGAAAATTGGAACTTATCAGAAAATGAAATGAAATACAAAGAGATTGACATTGTAAGCATCAGTGAACTGAGGTGAACTAGTTTTGACCATTTTGAATCAGACAACATATGATGTACTATACCAGGAATGATAAAGAGGAATGGTGTGACATTCACCATCAAAAAGAACATTTCACCATCTAGCCTGAAATACAATGCTGAGTGGGAAGATACTATCAATATGCATATAAGCAAATATTTTAATACAGCTAAAATCAGTAATGAATGCTGAAGATGAAGAAATCAAAGCTTCTACCAGTTTTTGCAATCTGAAATTGATTGAGCATGCAGTCAAGATGCATTTAATTGGTGCCTGGAATGCTTGTTGGAAACAAAAGTTCATGAAGGCTTGGGATGCTTGGTTCTGCTGTATAAGAATTCATGAAAATACTTCTTTTTTTAATTTTTTAATGAAAATATTTTTTAATGTTTATTAAAATCTTTTTAATGTTTATTGTAACACGAATATAATATATCTTAATTTTAAAATAATGTAACTTATTAATTATTTAGAGAGAAATAGCTTGTAGCTCCTTCCTGTTTTGGAAGATAAAACCTTAGCACTTTACTCGTGCTCACTCCTGAGCATCTATCTTGACTTTATATTCTTTATAACTGTCTTCCTTTTGATTATTGTGGATTGGCCAAGTATACACAAGAGGATGTATATCCCCAAATGCTATCATGTAACCTTTGCTTCATAAGTATATTGTTTATTTAAAATCTTTTAGTTGGTAATGATTTTGAACTTGGATAAGTTGTAAGGGTTGAGCAAAGACCATTTATATACCCATCACCCAAACTTAACTGTTGTTAACATTTTGTAGTCCTAAATTCAGCGCTTATGTCTTAAGAGTAAGAGGATTCTCTTATAGGCAGTTACCAACATGTTCAGAAATGTAGTGCTAAGTAGCCCCTAACTTAATTCACTGTATGTGTTCATTCAGACAGTATTGAATTGATCAAAATACTCTGGTCAAAATATTGTCTGCTTTTTCTCCACTGTGCACTTACTGTCCACCCACCCCTTGCCCCAATAAGCAGTCTATAAGGAGACACTTTAATTCAAAGCGAATGTCCTCTTCATCAAATCTCCAAATCCTTAGATTTAGTATCCAAGGATGATTCTTGCCTTAACCATTCTTTTTTGATAAATGCAAAATGGTGATTATCTAACTCCAAGTCTTTTCTCTACCACAAGCATGGATTGAATGTGTTTCTGTAATTTCCCCCCAAATTATTATAATAAATGTTTAGGAGCCATGTTGGCAGAGCAGGTAAGTGCTTGGCTGCTAACCAAAAACGTCAGTGGTTTGAGCTCATTGTCCACTCCTAGGAAGGAAAGGTCTGGTGATGTCCATCTATAAAGATTAAGCTGAGGAAACACAACAGGACAGTTCTCCTCCATCATAGTAGGTCGCTGGGAGTCAGAACTGACTCCATAGCACAGCAGCAACGTGATCTTTTCCGTCTTTAATCGTTTTAGTACTTTATCACAGGCTTGGCCAGTGGCAGCTTTTCATGCCGACTCCCGTGCATTGATGGCTTGGCCTTTGGCTCTCTAACAGATTCTTCTTAATACTGGTGGTTATCATCTTAATTGCCAAAGAAATTCATCTCCTGAAATGTATCATTAAATAACCACAGATCTACTTTCTGCCACTAGAATTTTTTTCCAATTTTATTTTATTTTAATTATTTTTTGTTCATCTGTCAAATCGGATCTGACTGGTACAGGAGGAGGTTTTCCTTCCTTCTCCTGCAGAGCATCTGTTGGATTCGAACCACACACCTCTGGGATTGCAGTGCAGCTTTTGCCACTAGGCTACCAGAGCTCCCTTCTGCCATTGGAATCATACAGTATATACTTTGAGACCTACTTTCCTTTACTTCACACAGTGATTTTTAAATTCATCTGTGTTTGAAAAGAATTGCAAATATCCATACTGTTGTATTGCTGAATAGTATTCAACTGCATAAATGGATCACATTTTTATTACAGTTAATTTTGATGACAGTTTGGGCAGTTTTCTAGTTTGTTGCTATTGTGAACAAAGTTGGCGTGACTATTCATTTAGAAGTCTTTGTGTCGACATATGTCTTCATTTCTCTTAAATAACTTAAAGAGTTCTGTAATTGTGTCATATGGATGGTTGTGTGTGCGTTTAATTTTCTAAGCAGCTGCCATCCAACCCTCCAGAGTGGGGGTGCGCGTTACCTTCCACCCGCCGCTCCACTGCGCCACTCCCTGCCCATCCTCGCTTGTGTCCGTTGTTTAGGCTTTAGCCTTTGTAATTGATGTAGAGATGCATCTCATTGTTAAATTGAGATATGATTTGTGTGGATAACATTTACTATTTTAAACTATTCAGTTCAGTGATTGCTTACGTTTCCCCGAGTTCTGCAGCTGTCCCCAACACTTCAGCAAGAACCTCATACCATTAATCAGCCACTCTCCGTTTCCCTCTGGCGTGCTGTGCGCAGGGTTCCTGCAGGTCTGCTTGGCTCATGTCAGTGGAATCCTAAAATGTATGGTCTTTAGAGTTTGGCTTCTTTGACTTAATATCCTCACGATTCCCCCATGATGAAGCAAGTCTCAGTAGTTGGTTTCTTTCTAGTAACAGATACTCCGTGGTAGTGACATGGTACATTTTATTTCTACATTCATCCATTAATGAGTAAATGCTTTTTCTCCTTTTCATCTTTTGTGTATCATGTTGCTGTGAACACTGATGTAAACTTGTGAGTGTGTCTTGTTTCTCCTCAGGAGTGAAATGTGTCTTATGGGATCTTTCCGGGAGCTCTGCTGACCTAGTGTGCAGGGACTTGCTCTCTAACCCAAAGGCTGCTTGCACCTCTTAGGTAGTTTAATTCCACCAGCAGCTCCAAGATAGTCTCCTCATGTGCATCTGATAGTCTCCGACAGTCCTCTCAGAGGGTCAGCTGTGAGTCACTTCCCCCTCAGTGGCAATGTTTGATGGTGTCTCTCGTGTTCGAACTTTTTAAGGAGCTTCTACACTGTTTTCCAAAATGACTGTACTACTACACATACTTTTCAGCATTCTACAGTGGTTTCAATTCTTTATAGCCTTCAAAATACGTGTTATTGACAAGTCTTTTCATTGTAGCCCATCTAATAGTTGTGAAGTGTTTTACTTCACTGTGGTTTTGCTTTTTAAATTTCCTGGTGACTTAATGCTGTTGATTGAGTATCTTTAATGCGCTTATTGTCTAGTTTTCTGTCTTAGGAGAAATTTCTCTTCTGATACTTTGTCATTTAATTGGGGTTTTTTTAATGATTGAGTTCTCAGAGTACTTAAGATTAGGTTAAAAACTCTACTCACATAATTTGCAAACATTTCCTCTCATTCTGTGGCTTATAATTTTTAAAAGTAGTATCCTTATACTTTTGATTTCATGATTAAGCAGCCAGTACCTACCCCAGCATAACTTGAGCTTCCTTTTTATTATTTAAAATTAGAGTCTGTGATCCATTTTTATTTCATTTTTGTGGATGATGCAAAAATATTTCATAAGCAACATAAAATAACTTCTAATTTAAGGGGAGAATTCTGATAATTTAGCTTTCTTGTTCTCAAATCCCAAATATTAATATTTGTCAGTATAAGAGACTGATTTTTCTGCGCCGTACTAAAGGGCCTGAGACGGTAATGTACCTTCTGAACAGACGGTGGCAGCAGAGGTTTGGTGAATGAAAAGTCTCCGATCACCTAAACCTAGTATCATAGCGTTTTAATTCGTCTTCAGGTTTTTGGTTATTACTGCTAAGCAAACTTAAAGTTCCTTTTAAGAATCTTTAAGACTTTTCTAAGTTTAGTAGGATTTTCACCACCACCTTCTGCCAGGCTTGTCAGTCTGTGAGGTGTTTGTGGACATGAAAAGAAATCTCTGATCCCAAGACACCGCTTTCTCACGTTTCTCTAGTGTTCTTTATCTCGTCTCTTTCACTGTCTTATTTCTATTCTAGAATGCTCCTGTAGAGCTACCATGGCAGTAACAGAGTGTTGGCTATTGTTAAAGTGATTCTCAGGCTTACTTCAGAATTAAGTGGCAAATTTCTTTTCATGTTTCAAAGAGATTAATTAAATACAGAAGTTGGATACATGGCTGACAATATTTGTTTTCAGTTATTTATTTTTTAATAAAAACAGCTTTATACTCTTTCAGAATGAATATATGAATTTAGATCTCCTATTTGGATCTGACTGTTAAACAGTAAATTAGATGATGCTACAGTTTCTTAGTTAACTCTGATGCCATAGTCCATAGGGAGTTCACTGCCAACCCAAAGGTCATGCCTCTCTGGAAGTTCATATCCACAACAAGCAATACTTTCTGTGTGACTTAGAACTTCCTGAAAACCCACAGGAGGGCCAGCTGTGAGTTGGTTCCAACTAGATGGCAGTGAGAGAGAGAATTTCTTAATAGTTGCTTTGAACATACTAGAAATGCACATTTTTTGACCACTGACTGTTTGCTGGGCATTATGCCTGACTGTCTCAGACCTGCACTAAGAGGTTAGTACTGATTATACCCTGAATTTTTCAAAGAAGGGAATGAGCTTTGAGAAATTAAGTCATTTGCCTTAGGTCATAAAGTAGTCAGTGAAGAAGTTTAGATTTATACCTGCTCCTTTTAACTAGAAGTTGTGAGCTTTAAATTGTAGCACATCTTAACAATTCTGATTTTCTTTTCCAAACTAATATTGTCTCTGTTAAGCCAGTGACTCAGTGGGAGAGAGACAGGCAGGTGCCCTTCTGTTAAGATTTACAGCCCAGAAGCCTGATGGAGGGTCACTGAGCGGCGGAGCCAGCACACCAGTCAGTTATGAGTTTCTTTCTTAGACTTGCCCGAAAGACTTTCCTACACAATACTTAACTAGATAAGCAAGTGATGCTTTTGTTGGTTTTAAATACCCTCTTGCTACAAATGTATATCTGTTTGTTCTCAGAGCCACTGACTTATATTATTTTGGATGTATATGTGTTTATTTTATACAGAGATTATTCATGCCAGGTGCACACTGCAGCTTTTTAATTTTTGATTTAAAAATCTGTTGTTGCTACTGTATAAAAATATCTTTATCAATTTCTTTATCTTGAGTAGATAATGTTGTTAGTTGATCTGAACTCAGTTCTTATGATGCTTTCTGTTTATTTGACTTAATAAACAAACTCTCAAACTCATTGGTGTTGAATTAGAACCTTCTAGTGGATTTTGGGGAAGCTGTAAATCAGGCAGGAAGAGATTAGTTCTTTGTCTCCCTCAGAGCTGCTGGAGGATTTGAACCCCCAGAGAGGGACCACCTTTGGATTAACGTGGCCTTTAAAAGCTCTTTAAGACTATACCACCCAAAACCCTTGGTTTATTTTACTTAGCTGCTGAAAACTTGGTGTGTCTTAAAACCTCAACTGATTTTACTTTTACTTAGCTTTTCCACTAGAGGGTGTTTGAATGATTGTTTTATTTCTGTTACAAAGCGATACTAATAATAATGTAACGTATTACTTCACAGTAGAAACATGAGAATTAGAAAGGAACATTTTCATGCATCTGACTGATATAATAGTCTCCCTGCTTTATTTTTATCTTGCAGGTTACTCATTTTTGGATCCTATGACAGAGAAGCAAATATTCATTGCACACTTGAATTAAGCAGTGGTGTTTGGGAAGAAAAACAAAGGAGTTCTATTAAGACGGTAAAAAGACTTTGCGTCGATATACATTTCTAGAAAGCTATTTCATACTTACCTGGCAGGGGAGATACCATGATCACGAAAGCTATTTCATAACGAATTTTTACTAATATTTCTAATTGTTTGTGATCATGTAAAGATAGTTATATATCCTTCTTACTTGTCTGGTGTTTCAGTACTACACTGGTAAGTAAAATGGATCACAGAAAGCGATCATATCCACATTGTTTAAATGAAAAACATAGCGTCATTGATTTTCTTTCCGTCTCGTAAATTGTTTCATGGTTTGTGAAATCAGAAGGGAATCTGCTTAAACACTTAATATTGCGTGTTAATTCAGAGTATTCACTCCGTCAGTAGTTCTCTTTTGAGAACTTGCTTTGTACGGAGGGGCTCTTGTGGCATCTTGGTGCATCCATTATGCATTTGTCTGCACATCAGAATGACACTGATGGAAATCACCAGCTCCTCTGAGAGAGAAAGGTGGAGCAGACTCTCTTCATCCAGATTTACAGCCTCCGAAGCCTGTTAGAGACTCCGTGAATTGGAATCACCTTGATAGCAGCAGGTCGAGTTGAGTGGTTCTTCGTACTAAACACTGTTTTAGAAGCACAAGAGCTGTTTCAAAAGAAGAAAATGGACAGTGTGAGATTTAAAGAGGAAGGAGATGAACTATGCATTTTATTGAGAGAGAATAATGAAAAGTGAGGAAACCAGAGGTCTGTCACTGAATCCAGAGACTGCCAAGTCCAGTGAAGAAAAATAAGTGATGAATGAGGGCAAAGGCAGCGCTTTAGACCTGGTGATAAAAGAGAGGATCGTAGAGCAGAATTGCCAGAGAAAAGAAAATTTGAGTTTTATATAAATAATAATTTTTTAGTATAAGAGTATACTAGATATTATGAAGGACCTATTTATACTAAAATATTATTTTGTATTTATCAAAAATTCAAATTTAAGTGCATATTCTGTATTTCTTTTTGGTAAATCTGGGGACCCTACAATGAAAATGAGGAGGAACAAGTCATATGGAGAATCTAGGATTATGAGGAAGAGGGAGACATTTCAGGTCAAGGGCACCAGCAGAAGTGTAAAGGGAAACCCAAGAATGGGTTTGGTGTGTTGGAGATGCAGGGAAGGCTGGTATATGATCATGGTAGGGGATAGAAAAAAGTCCTGCATTATCTTATGCCATGAAAAGGAGTTTTTCCTTTTATTGTGTTAGATAGGAGAATTTTAAGCTTAGGAGTAATACTTTGTAAAGAATTTTCTTTCGGTAGAAAAACAATTTTAGGAGAAAAAAGCAAGTCTGAAGGTTGTTGTTGTTATGTGCCAGCGAGTCGCTTGCAACTCAGGGCAACCCTATGTACAAGAGCTCTGAACGCCGTTCTATCCTGTGCCAACCTCACTGTCTCAAACACATTATTTCCACCACTCCAGTCACAGAATTGATCCATCTCATCAAGGGTCTTCCTCTCCTGCGCCGTCCCCCCACTGTGCCAAACGTGATGTCCCTCTCCAAGGACCAGTCCCTCCTTGGAACATGCCCAGAGTATGTCAGACAAAGCTTCAGAATCCTTTACTCCAAAGAGCATTCCAGCTTCACCCTCTCCAGGACAAACCTGTCTGTTCTCCTAGCAGTCCATAGTCTATTCAACACTCTTCTCCAGCACCACAGATCAAAGGCATCTGTTCTCTAAGTATCAGTCAAGAGTCTCTGGTTACTTGGATTAGACTAGTACCAAGGAAATAAAAGGAAGGGACAAATTTGGCATGAACCTTTTGGTGTGAGAAAAAGTTAAGGATTCTGGATTTAATTTCTCTTAATCAGGAAATGTTAAGACTTTCCAAATATATTAAATGCTACAGTTAAAAAATTTTAGAAATAGTGCTCTCATGTAATAATTAGATTTAGTTTGTGGGTTCTTAAATTAATAAAAATTATCACCATTATAATTTGTTTCTAAAGATAAGTTGGTACTTTCTGAATATGCTGCTAACCATCTTAATAGTAATTATTACATACTTCTTGGAATTTGCCTAAATCATAATATTATAGGTAGCTCTGGTAACCTAGTGGTAAGGAGCATGCTCCCATCCCAAAGGCACCTGGTTCAAATCCACCAGCTGTTCCTCGGGAAAAAGATGGGCACCCTCCTTCCATGCACTTTACTGCCTTTAAAAATCCGTGGAGGGTCAATAACAACTACAATCATTAGTGGGAACTCTGGTGGCCCAGTGCTGCCAACTGAAAGGTAATTTGAATCCACCACTTGCTGTGTGGGAGAAAGGTGGGTATTCTCTTCCTGTGCAATTTACAGCCTCTGAAAACGCTCTGGACAGTTGGTTATGACCTGGTTCCAGCTCATTGGCAACAACAATAATCCTTATCTGTGGGCTCTAGTGACACTAGTTAAAACATTCACCTGCCAGCCACTCAGTAAGAGAAAGATAAGGAGACAGTCTGTTTATATAAAGACTTGCAGCCTTGGAGACCGCATGGGGAGGCTGGAGGTCAAAGTGGTGAAATTTTATACAGAGTGAGTGAGAGAGAGAGACAGAGAGAATATGTTCATGTGTCACCTTTCTTTTTAGTTAAACATCTCAAGTAGTTTCTTGGAGGCATAATAACCAGTTTTAAAATTTGTTTTGAAATAATAGAACAGTATGAACAAAACATAATTATTTTGTCCTGGTAAATATTTGGCTTTACTTTGAAATAGTCACTAATGTGCTATTGCAATTGGCATTTTCATTTGCCTTTATTATATTTGCAAAGATGAGATTAGACAGCTTTAATATTTTATAACAAAAGTTCATAAGACTTGAATCGTGTGTCCTTTTAGGTGTTAGTCTATGCCGCAGATAGTTAACGAAAGAAGAATGCTGAGGTGCTCATTAGATGTGATGTGGAAATAGCAGCAGCAGCAGCTGGTTTCTTCAGGATTAGATTGCTTATATCTGAATTTAATAAATCTAGGGAGGAGTAAGCATCACGACAACATAAAACATTGTTGGATTGATAGGTTAGTTTGGATGTATTACAAATTAGGATAAAAGCAAGCATCATTAAACGATAAATATGCTACAGTATTTGATAAGTTTAGAAGCTGTTTTATACAAATACGATCTTTGTGTCTACCAGCTTTTTAAATGTCAGTTTGTTCAGTGAACTGTTTAAAAAGAAACTTAATTCTTCCACATGCTGACCGTGCCCTTGAGTTTGAAAGCATTATGTATATATAGTATGTATACCTATGGTGCTGGTGTGGTAGATCAAAGCCTTGGGCTTTCTCTGCTTGCACTGATCTCCTAGCAGGGTGGAGAAGTTAGAAGAATTTTTTTCAGTTCTAAAAAATGCAACTCATAAAGGCTTAAGTAAGCAAAAAGTTTATCCTTTGTGATAAATCCAGGTTTAGAACATTGGTTCTACATTAAACAAAGGCCCTGGGTTTTACAGGTGTTCTTGTGGTCTAATGGATTACATGTTGAGCTGCTAACTGGTTCAAACCCACCAGCTTCTCCACAGTCCCGGATGAGGCAGTCTGCTCCTGTAAGGATTTACCGCCTTAGAAGTCTCGAGGGTCCCTTTGCTCTGTCCTTTAGGGATTCTAGGTTATCAGAATTGATTAAACCATGGGGACTTTTTTTTTTTTTCAAACATTTCTTTCTGTCCTTTTTTTTTAATTTTATTTTATTATTTTGTGTGTCTGTACCGTCAAATCAGATCTGACTGGTACAGGAGGAGGAGGACATTGCCCCTCCTTCTCCAACAGAGTATCTGGTGGATTCGAACCACGTGCCTATGGGATTGCAGTGCAGCTTTTTGCCACTAGGCCACCAGAGCTCCCTAAATCATAGTGACTTTTATTGTTCGGCTCTTACTGGCACCCTGCTTCATCATTCTTAGTGTGAAATATTTGTCATTTATCCTTTTTAAATGCTTTCCTGGGAGTTTCTTCCAGGATTTATACTTAAATCTCACTGGACAGAACTGGATCACATAGCCTCCACTCGCAGCATGGGAACATGAGAAACCACTGGTTACAAATACCATATTTGAAATCAAGGGATGGTTTGGAGCATGATGCTATATACCCAGATCAATATTCTCCTTACCTCATTTGCAAAATTAAAGAGTTCATAGAATAAATAGGATGCCTTTTATAGTTCTGTTTGTTCTCATAAGGAAATAGAAAAGGAAAGAGTCTCTATCTCATAAAATGTGACAGCTGGGATACAAAAAATTTGGTTTTAGTCTTAAAAAAAATTAAAGGCTAATTGAAGAAGTGACAGAGTTACTACTGCAGTAGCTTCACATAGACCAAAAAGAGGCAGTACTGGGGGTTTTTTATTCATTTCGGTCTATTAACAGTATTTAAGTTCAGCAGTAATTCTTTTTCTTTCCTTTAGGAACAAATTTAAGACATTTCCAAGTTTAGCCTATGAGAATTTAACAGTAAATTAAGAAAACAACTCCATAGCTATAGAATGTATGGTGCATACCTGATAAAGTTCACAATAAGGTGAAAGGGTATAGTTGTAATAATGTACATGTTGAGGCAGACATCATGTCACAACACATAATACTTCAAAGAGAGTCACCTCGAGCCTCCTCTCCTAGAACTTGAGTTCACTTAGATTACTTACTTTACTCCTAGTTCCAAACACAAAATAGCTGATCAGTGAATATTATTGTCCCCTTTCCTTTCTCTGCTATCATTTTTTGACCCAGTCACCCGATTCTTCTGATGTTTCTACTCTTTATCCAACCTGTAACGATTGAGGACTTGGGAAAGAAGAGGCGGCATCATGAAAATGGCTGTGGAACCTCTGAATCTAGACGTTCCGGAGTGAAAACCAAGGATTTGGGGCAGTATACATCCCAGCATTCCTGAAGAACATGATGAAAGGAGTTTTCATTTTAGAAACAAGCTTTTTGTTAAAAAAAAAAATTAACTTTATTATTAATTTCAGTAAAAATTTACAGACTTTGGATTTCC